AAAAAAAAAAAAAAAAAAAAAAGAATTACGATTTAAGAATTATCTTTATTGTTAAAGACTTAATTTTACTAATTTCAGTAACAAAAATGCGAAAGAAAGATGTATGCATGTTTGAGTTTGTAGCCTAAACGACTGAACGGATCTCGATGAAATTTGGCTCAGATGTAGAGCATAGTCTGGAAGAACACGTATGCTACTGTTAATTTTAAATTCCACACTGATGAAGTCGAAGGCGTAAGCTAGTATATAAACATAATTAACATTAGCTCCAGCATTTCTAGTTTTAATTAACTTCTAGTTAAGATATGGTCTTAACTGGAATTTACCGTTTTTAACTCGTTTTGTATGCTTTGTAGGCGAAGCTGGCGGTTGGCGAACACACTTCGACGCCGAAATGGAGGTGCAAGCTGAAGAATTCATTTCAACTCGTCTCCGAGGCCTCGATTTATCTTATCCATCATTCCAACTCAATGAGACCGAATGCTCTCACTTGTAACTGTAGCATTATGAAGACTTATTTATAAGACTGATTCTGTAGAATGCAGTGATGTAAAATCGAATTTTCACTAAGTGACTGGCATGGTTTTGGTGTGCGCGCCATCTATTGAGTGATCGCGTGTCCTATTTTCAATTCTAATCCGCGATTGCCAGAGCTGCGCGTTTACTTATTGTTAACGGAAATATAACGCGTGAGTCATGTATTAAAAAGTGTATACCTTACCTATTTTACAGAAAGACAAATTACTTTAATGTACCATAATAAGTAATGAGAGGGGAAAAATGGATTACATACAAATAGGAAACCAGAAACTTTTGGTCGATCATGAGCACAAAATAGAGGATAGTTAGATACAAAGAGATAGTCGCAATTATTAAATGCCCTTTAAAAGTCTTATCTGGGCTTTTATATCAACAGACTGCTACACAAAACAACTGACTACTCTCTCTTCTCCAATTCTTCCCCTTGTCTAGATCAACCTCTAAGGAATTAAAACACAACGTATAGGTTCAAGTATCCATGTGTTCAAGTAATCTAATTAAGTTTAATAAAATAAGGATTCTTTAGATTTTTTAATAAGGTCTCAACTTATTAAGTTATGTAAAAAAGACCTTCGTTTTAATACGTTTCCTTAAAACTTAGACAATTCATTAAAATAATTTGTTTCTAATTGAAAGGACCTTAGTTATTAAAGTTATCGAATAAGTTAACGTAAGTTAAATAATGTATTTAATGTAAATAAAACATACAGTTCGATTTGAAATGTTTTATTTCTTCATCATTTTATAAAACCCAAATCATACTAAATTATAACTGCGAAAGTTTAGATGGATGTTTGTTAGAGTTTGTAGCCTAAACGGCTGAACGGATTATGATAATATTTTGTATAGATGTAGAGGATAGTGTGGAAGTACACATAGCCTACTCACTTTTGTTTTTTTTTAATTCCGCGGGAACGGAGTCGTGGGTGAAAGCTAGTACACCATACAATAATCTTAGAAACGAAAGGACAGTCTGGATGTTTCTTAGAGTTTGTAGCCTGAACAGATCTCGACAAAATTTGGCATAGATGTAGGACATAGTCTGCAAAAACACATTCGGCTACTTTCTTTTGTTTTTTAACATTATGCAGACGGAATCTATGAAAATAAATCCCTTAAAGATCGATCATTCGAGATACGAATGGAGTCAGTTAGCGAGTTATAGAACGGTATACGACGATGTCGATTCTTGATACTCGTTCAAAGTTTCTGTATTCCCGGAAGCCGCGCTCGAAGTACGAATTCACTGAACTAGTTTCCAACTTACGGTATACCTGTGGTTATCAAACGAGTATGTATTTGAACAAAGATTGAATATCGAGAATTTAACTGTTAGTTAAGCATTTGTGGTTAATCAGTTAAAATAATTTAAATGTAAATAACATTTTGTGAACTTTAGTAATATACTAGCTTTCACCCACAACTGCGTCTGCGAGGAACTAAAAAAAACAATACCAAGTAGCCTTTCAAATTCTTCCAGACTATCCTATACATGTATGCTAAATTTCATCGACATCCGTTCAGTAGTTTAGGCTACAAACTCAAACTCTAACAAACATCCATCCATCCATCTAAACTTTCGCATTTGTAATATTAGTAAGATTTGTGAACTTATGCCGTTGTGAGAAAGACGTCAACCAATAACGTTGAAAGAGAGTAATTTAATAATGAAATTTCACACTAAAAGTCGTAAATTATTACGGAGTGTGACTTTGATATGAAAATATACTTAAATAAGCTTAGTGGCGATTAAAGGTTGTATAAATAATGTCACTAAAAGAAAATGCGACATTTTGTTTCTTGGTAACTTTGTTTAAACGTGAATGTTTCCTCTAAATTATTCCTAAGGTTTCAACAATCTTCAGGGGTTGTAGGAGGAATGCGTGACGTCACCGAAAGCCCCTACTCTGCACTCCGTTGTTGGAAACACGCAGTAAATCAAAACGGACTTTGCAATAATCTTGCGCGATAAATCAAAACTTGCAAGTTGAGGCTATATTGGTCCCCTCTTACTAACTTTTGTTTTAGTTTCTTACCGATGCACTTTATTGGAAAATTTGTTTTCTGTTTTTTTTTTCCTTTATTTGTAAACTATATATTTATTTGGGAACAAATGCATCAAAAATCGACAATGTACATCTCAATATTCCAGCTAATCACACGCTACGCTCCCTTCTCTAAAAAAATACTTCTTTTCATACTTAATAATTATTAAAATAATACTCAGATCGTTCTCAACTATCATATATTAATTTCGAAACAGAGTCCAAACTAATATATGATCGTTTTAACCTTCAAAAATTTAATTCGCTAAGGAACAGAAATCAGCTTTCTTGAATTCAAATCGAATGTACGAATAAAAGTTTCGATGCACTTAACTAAATTACTTCCAACAGCGAAAAGCTTGAAACATGAATAAAACAATACCTTACAATACTATGTTACTATTTGTAGACATAAACAGTATTTTTATGTTAAATATCACAAATGGCTAGAATCCAAATAATAACTAAAGAGATATACTGGATTATTAAAAACTAGCTGTTCCCGTGCGATTTCATTAATATAAAATTATTTTATTGTTTACATGTGTCAAACTGCCAAAGTGTCACCTGCAAATGTCAAAATGACATGACATGACAAAACTTGGCAATCTTGCTTCCTTGATGTTGGCAGCAACTTATAGTCTCTTTCCCACATTAGGGTTTTTATCTAAAATATTTATTTTAGTTTAATGTCGTGAAAACATATAGCCTAAAGCGGGACGTAAGTGTAGGGCTTTTTATTAAAAAAAGAATTATTCAAAAATATGTTGTAATTGCTGACATCTTAGGCAACAAATAAGTGTGTGTTTACGCTTAATTATAATAGTATAGAAGTACAGATTATATATTACATCTGAATAGATTCTTTTTCACTTTTATTTCCCTAAACCACAATAATATAACCAAAATTGTAACAATACCGAACTATAATATGAATTCACCAAACACAAGCGCACAAAGTTTCTAGAACTTCGCTCTAGTGACGGAAGCGAATGTTTTACGGTAACATTTGGAACAGGAACACAACCCGTAACTTAACTCGTATTTAAACTATGCAAAATCATGATACTAAACAATTGAAAATACTTATTTGCATACACAAACAAATAAATGTCCTACCCGATGGGTTGCAGCCTATCTAATTTAGTTACTAGCTATCAACCACACTGGCCCAGGATTAGAAAACATTTAACAGATACGTAAAATTCGGTACAACCTACATTCTCCGAATCCGGTAATAACGAAGTAACGATCACCTCCTGAGGGATACCTTAAGCTTAGTTACTCATAAACGAGGTTTAGGCTCTGCTCTCCGCTCGGCCACCTTAAGCCCAGTGAATCTGTAAATGCCTCTTCAAGCAAAACTAACAATTCAGTCAAAAAAAAAATATCTTAATAAGTACATCTGCACTGGCGGTTGTATAGTATTAAATATATGAAGTCACTAACTAGACTCGTTTACAAACTGCAAGCGCACGGTCACTGTATTATGGTAGTCAAGTACAAGAATTAATTTATTTGATCTCATCAAAATATTACCAGCCATATTATTATGACATTTAATATAATTATCACGTCATCCTTTAAGTAGGGCATCTATTCCAGGGCAGTATTCAGGCATGGGTAATTCGGTAAAGGGTCGATGAAGCCACGCGTCGCATCGCTGCGGTCTAATGGTCCCCGCACGCTCTAATTCACAAACAGTTTATGCGTAGCCTAAGTACAAAAGCTTAATGTTTTCAGTTCAAAGCTTATATGAAAAATTATAACGTGGAAATATCGATATCCCTTATTGAAATTGTCAGTTAAACTTGTGTCTAATTCAGGACTTAAATTATGTTTAATTTATGGTCTTTAAAAATAAAAAAATAATCTTACCAAGATTATATATGCGAAAAATGGATGGATATTTGTTAGAGTTTGTAGCCTAAACACCTGAAGGGATCTCGATGAAATTTGGTAAAGATGTAGAGGTTAGTGTGAAAGAACACATAGGCTACTTGCTTTTGTTTTTTTTTTATTCCGCGCGGACGGAGTCGCGGGCAAAAGCTTGTGCTCTATGAGTTTAAAAGAAAAAGCGAAGAACATAACCCCCATGAAGCAAGTGTTGCGTAACATACGTAAAAAGTCATAGTATTTTAAAGTTGAACTTTAGTCGATACACCAACAGTTGCAGTCCAAGCGATAAATTCCCCTGGAATGTTCTACCAACTGCCCGACCTCCCCCCACCCAACTTACTGGAACTTCGTTTTTGTGACGGAAGCAACTGTTTCACAGCAACATTTGGAACGTGGACAAAACTTTACAAACTTCCTTCTATCGACCAAAGGCGAACAAACAATTTTGACATCAATTTAAAACTGAAGCTCGCCTTTTAGTACATAACTAAAACAATTGCTACACATACTGATTTTGTATTTATAACTAACTGGATTACGCCCGCGACTCCGTCTGCGTGGTATTAAAAAAAAAGTGAAGCCTATGTGTTCTTCCAGAATATCCGCTACATCTATACCAAATTTCATCGAAATCCGTTCAACCGTTTAGGCTACAAACTCTAAAAAACTAAAAAAGAACATACAGACGAATTGAGTACTTCCTTTTTTTAGAAAGTCGGTCAAAAAGAAACAATAACTATATGAAAAATGTCGATATACCCATCTTCAAATTCTACGTTCGTAAAGTATAAAGGTATAAGTTGTTATTCTGTTCAGTTGACAGTTCTACTTGGGTTCACTTTCGCTTGTTACGCATTTCTCATAGCCCCAAACCAACCACTAAATCAAATCGGACTTTCTAATAATCTCGACGATAAATCACGCTGCTCTAGTATAGAAGGGTTGGTCTTTACAAGCATTTCTTAATGTATAGATAACATCCGACTACATTTTTTGGTACATTTTACGTTAAGCAATACCTAATTTATATCAACTTAATAAGTATAAGGAATAAATAATAAGTGATAAGGAAATAAGGAAATGATTTAAAAAAAACTCTTTGCAATTTTTGTTTCTCATTGCAAAAAATGTTGAAAACTCCACCTATCGATGTAAGATTTTTAAAAATAAATTTAAGCAAATTTTCATACGATATATGTAAATTACATTCAAAATATCAACGAATACTTCCGACTTCTGACACCCCCCTTTCTTACCCCTTGCCACCCCCCAGCTCCTGCCGCGTTGTAAATCAAAACTGGCTTTGTAATAATCTTGACTATAAATCAAGCAAGTCCCCGTCGTACGGATACGTCGGTATACGAAGATTCTAACTTTATGAAAGCTTCATTTCAGCTACAAGAGAAAAGTGTTCGGCATTCTAACACATGCGCGGTCACGAAGCGTGACT